CCTCGCATGGTGTAAAGAAAAAAATGGTACTTTTTGAATACAACCAGGTTTCCATTTACATTTATTATCAGACGGTGTGCTCACCTTTCCTCCCTGATGGCTTTTTTGTTTGTTTGTTTGTGTTCATATATTTTCTCTGTCATCTGCAGGCCCGGGTCCAGTGGTCCCTCAGGTTTCTCAGTATCTCTACTTCCTGTTTGCACCCACACTCATCTACAGAGACAAGTACCCCAGGTACTGTGTTTTGTTCTCTCTCATGGAGCATCTATAGAACCCTTTTTTTGTTTTGTTTTACAGTAGAGCTGTAAAAGCCCCTTTCCTTTCTTGCCTACTACAGGAATCCGGTGATTCGGTGGGGCTACGTGGTCTCAAAATTACTTCAGGTACCAACCTCTGACACATTTATAGCAACTTCACTTAAATGTCCAAGCAGCTCATTACTTTTAAATTACATTTACTTTCTTGACCACTCCCACTCCACAGGTACTTGGCTGTCTGTTTTATGCCTATTACGTGTTTGTGCGGCTGTGCATACCTCAGTTTCGTAGCATCAGTCTGCAGCTGTTTGATCTGCGAGCCATGGTTCTCTGTGTCTTTAACTCAATCTTACCAGGTAAGATTAGAAACAAACTTTTGTGAAAACCTCATGTTTTATTTTTGATTTGATCTTTTCTCATATTTGAAGGCGAGAGATGTGTTATTGCTGTTTGTTGACCAGTCATGTGTTTTTGGCAGGGGTGCTGGTCCTCTTCCTGGGATTCTTTGCCTTCCTCCACTGTTGGCTCAATGCTTTTGCTGAGATGCTTCGGTTTGCCGACAGAATGTTTTACAAGGTACTTGTTTTACCCTCGTTTTAAAATTTGGACTAAATCTTCTTTGTGCGCAGTGTTTGACTCGTGTGATTTTGACTACACGTTACAGGATTGGTGGAATTCGACCTCTTTTGCCAATTACTATCGCACTTGGAATGTAGTTGTCCATGATTGGCTGTACTACTACGTTTACCGGGACTTCCTGTGGGTAAGTGGCTCTTCTGTTGATGCAGCAGAGACTGTAAAAGCACACAATTGTAAAAATGCACCAGCAGTCTTCATAAGTTTGCAGTTTGTTCAAAAATGTCTGAAATAAATGAATGCCAGTGTTTTAAAAGTGCAGTCAGTAATTTACTGAGTTTATTTAGCAGAGATAGAAAGGACATTGTACTTCACATGGATTAGTGTGTAATTATGTCTTCCAATAAACTGATGCATTCTCATAAACTGTCAGTTAATGTATTAAAAATGCATAATGGTGGATTTGTGGTTTGTGGAAGCTGCCATGTTCCCTCACAGTATTTGAATACTATGGTTGGGAAAGACGTCTCCCTTCTGAATAATCGTGTTTTACATATGTGGTTAGAGGATGGCCACATGCATAAAAGTCTCTGGCGTTTGTGTGCCATGGATGTAAATTCATGTACGCACCTTCAGACTCGAGCGATGAAGCATCATATCTGTGGCGTTCCCTTCACCAAAGAAACAAAAGCGCGAAGGAAAGAGATGCCACCCACCCGCATATTTTTAAATTGTCAAACAACGGGGAATAAACATGCTTGTTTATTGGTGAAATTTCTTATTGTCAGCAGATTACACATATATTCATCCTGGCTAAACCTCGAGCAGCTGTTTATAGGTAGGGATGGGTACCGACATAAACGGTAGTAACCAGACCGAAAAGCAGCGCACATTTTGGTGCTTTTTTTCCCTGAGATGTAACACACTTTGAATTCCAGCCAATCATTTTACCTTTCCAAGGATAGTAGGCGGGCCCAGGTACGTAGGTTCTTTTAGAGCAGAGCTACAGATTAAAAATGTCCAAGGCGAAGCGGTCAAAAGTCTGGCTGTACTTCACAGCAAAAGATGCAAACTCAGCAGCAACAAGTGCTTTAAGCTGATGCTGTGCAAAGGAGGTAACTCCTCGAATCTGATGAAATTTGGCACCGTTATCGGATAAAACCTAAACGATACCCATCCCTATTTATAGGTTGACATTATGCCAGGTAGTCTTGAGCTAAAGAGTCCTAAAAATCAGACGTTGCCTCTGTTAAACAGTTGGATTGCATTCTTGCATTCTGAGTTTATTCACTAACAAAGTCCAGTGACTGACTAAAACATGTTTGTCGAACAGCAATCGTCAGAGCTTATATAAACTCAGACTGCAGTCTGTAATCCAGTGGCATCCAGCAGTGAGAACTTTACACGCTGTACTTTAAAAAACTTTCAAACTTAATGTGGATTGTGCGTTTTGTTTTTTTAACATTTGTGTTCATGTCTCTGTTTCCAGATCTCTCAGAAGCGCTGCCGACCAGCCGCCATGCTGTTCGTGTTTACAGTGTCTGCAGTGGTTCATGAGTACATTCTTGCAATTTGCTTTGGTTTCTTCTACCCTGTGCTCTTCTGCCTCTTCATGTGCTTTGGAAGTAAGAGACTTTGTCGCCTTTAATAAAAATGATATTACTTGAGTTGTACTGCATCAGATGATTGTGGTATCATGTCTGGGTCACGTAAACCCAGTCAAGTTAAATCTGTATGTCAGTTTTTCATTATCTTCTCTCTTTGTCCTCTCACAGTGATGTTCAACTTCATTTTGCATGACAAAAGGAAAGGCCCCATCTGGAACATAATCATGTGGACGTCCCTGTTCCTGGGTCAGGGAGTCATTATCTGTCTGTACTCTCAGGAGTGGTATGCCCAGCGCTACTGTCCCCTGAAGGAGGTACTGCTTATAAAAATCACATGATGTATATTCTTTCCAAAGATGCAGTGAAATTCAGTTATTCAGAGTGAGAGTAGACACAAATTCAGCTTTTAATTGTTATTTTTGTTCCAGCCTTCCTTTTTTGAGCTACTGAAGCCTCGCTCTTGGAGCTGTGAGAGGCCTGATGACAGACTCTGATGGGCTGTGACCTACAGCTGAGCTGCTGGGACGACGATTATTGCTGATCAGTATAAATGAGACCAGCCTGTCTGCTACTGTCACAACTTCTGGACTTTGTTTTATTTAAGGTTCATAGTTTATTTGAATGTATGGAAAAAGTCTCTGCCAAAAAAAAGCCAGCAAAGTTATAATGATGCCTTATTTGTTTTAAGTTATCAACTCCAAAACAAAATCATCGTTCACACAACAGAACACGTGGACTCTTATTTTTATTCGTTCCTTAATCTTCTGACGTTTCCATATTCGCCTCTATAAACTGTGAAATCACTCCTTGTGCCATTATGAATGTGGCAATAGTGACATAGCAGCTGAATACAAACATTATTCACATATGCAGTAAAGTCTAATATTTAACAAGTGTTTACAGTTGCTAATGTACTGAAGGACAGTCGGTGTTTGGGGATCAATGATATCTATTTCAGTGCCAATAAGAGTCAGTTTGAAAAAGACTGCCACTGTTTGCTGTTTTGTATAACATCTTGATGTTTCAGTCAGTTAAAGAGGAAAACAGTGGGGACATTTCACTCACTAAGAAGTGGACCTGTGCCGAGTTAAACGCACCTAAGCTCCACATTTCCCGTTTTTCTGTTGATTTCCATGTATCAAGACACAAGTTGGAAGCAGGACATGCAATAATTGTATTTATACATAAAATTGTTGTTGTAATCTAAAAATTCTGATCATGCACCGAATGTAAAGTGTGAAAGCGGAGCTTTATGGATCTACTAATATTGTGTGACTGGTGGATGTATTAATGATTAAGTTAAACAGGTTTGAACATACAATAACTGTCACTGAGGATAGTTAAGTGATGTGTTTTGTTCCGTGTTGCACAGTGATTTCAGAAATGTCTACTTCTGTAAAACTTGCAGTTGGCTGCTAAAATGTTTTAACACTGAGGTTGGAAGGACACTTGATCAGCACTAAGGGCTAAAACATTGTTATTTAAAGTGCACTGTTATGCATTTTGTTCAAGCCATTTCAGGTTAGTCAGACTTGGTTTCTGCTTTTAATTTTGAATGGGTTTCAGGCACTATTTGCATTATTTTGAATCAGCGGTCGTCACACATTGAAATGCATGATGACTGTGTTTATTTGTATGAATGAGGCCTGCCATACAAAGTTAAACCAGCAATAGAATGTGCTCTTCTAAAAAGTAAGTGACCACAAGGTGGCACTGTTTTAAAGCGTTTATTTTTAATCTCTGCACATTTTAGTGAGAGATTTCCAGATTTCTTTTCCAAAATAATCAAATATAATCACAAGCAAACTGTTGTTAATATGTACAGATAACGCAGACATTTTCAGGAAGCTTTCACACAGCTTCATCCCTTTACGATTTTATGAATAAATAGAATATTTATTACAGTGAAAGGCCAAATTGTATAAATCCTGTTTATTTGCATAAGAGGTTTATTTTCGGGGACCAGAGCTTTTCCTACTTAGTGGTGTTTGTGTTCATTGTTATGTCTTCTGGCATTGAATCGACATGGGTATCGTGTCACGTGACATTTTTATGAATCATGTCTATCTTTGGATTGTAGACAAAGTTTTGATTCATTCTTTGCGCATCATGTACAAACTGAAGAATTTAAATAAAATGAAAGTATTTTATTTACACATTTTATTCAAGTGTATGTAATAGCCCGTGTGGAAAATAAATAATGTCTTTATTGTGTTGATTTACATGTTTAAATTTCAAATACAGGTGTCTACGTTTAAATAACCTCTTGAAATCTGAAGAATATATGAAAAGGTATGCTGTTATACGTGTATTGACTTCAGATGTTTGAGCTGTATTTTTTTAATAAAGGAAATATATCCGTTTAATATTGATGAGTACATCGACTATATCATCTTAGTCATATGTTAATTAAACTTGGTAATCACATTCTTTTAAAAGTGGGGAAGAACTTCTAAACTTTTTAGTTTTCCTACATGTCCCCTCCAGCGGTGTAGGTGCGGGTGCAGGGGAACTGTTGGGACCAGGTTGGAGGTGGAGGATCACGCTGACAGTGGACAGTGGATAGTGGATCCAGGCGAACCCCCCGCCTTGTGCAACACACATCTTCTATTCTGCGGTAAAGATGGCGGCGTCAGAGGGGGCGCGCAGCGGCCGCACAACGGCAAAACGATTCTAACTAGCTTCAATTTGACCGAATATAGCCAACCGGGTGTCTTTTATTACTACTCGGATGCCACCCGGAGCAAGGAATTAGAGGCAGTCGCTGTCACACGCCGGGGTTGGGATTTTATTGTTAAAGGCAGGGTGGGTGGGTTTCACTGATAGCAGCTAACGTTAGCTAACGGGCTAGCTAGGCGAGCTAACACGGGCTAGTTTTACTTTAGCCCACTGAAAGAACGGCAGGGAAGGGATTGAGGAAGAGTATTCGGGCCAGGCCGCTCCAGCTTTGGGGGAATGTGAACCAGACGCGCGCAGGGGGGTTTGCTTGCTTCGTCCTCACGCCAAACTACCGGGATGGGACAGCAGGTTGGCCGAGTCGGTGAGGGTACATCGACCGGGCTCCAGCCACCACAGCCCCACGCGCCCCAACCACACCAAGGGAAGGGGAACCGGGGGAGCGGCGTCGGGAGGAGACCCCGGGAACCCGGCAGTAGCACCGGGACACCGCCAGGCAGGACAGCTCCAGTCAATGTGCCCGATCCAGGCATCAATATATTCACGCAGCATTCAGGTAAAGAGAAATAAGTAGCTGTCAACCTACAAGCGGAGATAAAATCTAATTTGTTTTTTTTTTTCTTTTCTGCTGATTCGCTAATCGACTCCATGCTATTTGACAACGACGCGTTAGCGGAAATAGCCATGCTATCCAACATTAGCTTTCCATGCCTCATCCATTTTACTGTGTGTTAATTTCGCTATTGTTTGTGTATGCACACAGAAGTGAGTTATTTACTGAATAGTGGTAACAAGATTGCCGTGATTTCACACCAAGTCATTACTTTGTTGGGGCGTATGAATGTGATGCATGTCACCAAATGATCCGAAAAGAGGTGTACTGTTCCTAAAGAGAGGAAGAGTCTTCTGTGCTCGATTCAAGGGGTCATACCCAGAGGTTAACTTGTTTCCTCCAAGGCCCCTCTATGTGATACCTGGTTTGGAAACACTGATTCTTGCCTCCAGTGGTTGACTAACAATTCCACTCCATTAACTCACAATAGAAACCACCTCAGGCTCACATTACAGCACCTAGTGGGTTTCACATGCTCGCTTCTATCCTCTGTCTACTGTTACAACAGGCTCAGCAAGATGACTGCTCAGATTGATCTAATGGGAAACGTGTCAATTATTTAAGTGACCTTCTGTGATTATATGTTGACACCGAGGAAACATCAAGGTTTAAGGCTATTCCTTTCTTGTTATACTGTTTTTGTCATGTCTGTCCTCAAGATCAGATAATACATAAGGTAACTCATGATTTAAAAAAAAAAAAAAAAAGCAATGTGGGTTTGGGCCCCACAAAAACAGAGGAGGTGCTACCCGTGTTTCAGCTTCAAAGCAGTGTATTCAAGTTGATATCTGCTTGCAGATCTTCAGTATCTTTCTCTTTTGAGTCGTGGAGAGTCGGCGCGCCTTCTTCCTCAAAGCCCTCTCAGCTGGTTGCTTAATGAGACTTCTGGGGTTATAAGTAATGGAGGCTATAGCATATCCATTAGGTTTGCATGATCTCATATTCATTATAATGCATTTTATTCTCAAAGAGCTTCTCCTAATTGTTTGCTCACACATCTTGATTGAACACTCTGCTCTGAACGTAACCTCGGTCAAAAGTTTGATGTGTACATGCTGCTGTCTTGGTTTCTCATTCGTTTGTGCCCTTGAATGAATGTTTACGTCACACATGCCGCATATATGTAGAACTGCTGGCATAACTCGCCTAGTTTTTTCCACTGATGTCCCAGACCAAACGCCCTCCCATCACTGCAGTGAGCAAGGACCCATGGAAGGTGCAACCTTTTGGGAATGGAAAGCATTTTTAGTTCCTGGCTCTCACATCTCAAAAGTAACAGTCCTCAGCTTGAAGTGCATACACAGACAGGCAGACCCACTAAGTGCAACACCGCTCACTGTCGGCACTGTTCTGTTTTCTCCAGTGTCGGGGCAGGAGTAGCCTTTTTATAGCATCCAGGATGCAGTCACACAGCCACTCTGCAGAGAGACTGCTACTCTTCAAAGCACACAATAATAGAACAAAGACTCTTAAGTGAGGAAGCTTGGAACTGTGCTCTCAGTCTTTCACTGAATATAAAACTGCCTCTTTGCTGGTAGTCTATTCATGCGATAATGATACAGCATTATCTTACATTTTAAAGGAAGCTCTTTTGATTATTAGGAAGTAATATCTCATTGTTTAGGCTAAAACAAAAGTGGTTGCTAGTTTGTAAATAGCATTAGCAAATCCAATATATTTGCACTTTAAAAGCTGAAATTTGTGTCACTGTTGCAGTTTTAGTATGACCAAAAGCCACAAAGCAACTTGTTGTTTTTGCATAATGTTTTGTGAGGTATGGAAGCTCCTTCAGTTCATATTGTTTATCATTATTTTGTGAGAAAACAAATACATTTTAAGTCAGTTATATAGTTTGAGATTGCTTATCTGTTCACTTGGACATCAAAGTTGAGATGCGTTTGATTGATCCTATGTGGGAAAATTCCGGTTCCATTGCAGCAAAATTAAATGTTAATATATTGTGTAAGTCAACCAAGTAGGTGAGGTTTTTCTTTTTTGCAAAATTCCTCTTTGATGTACAGTAATGTGCAAAAAACTTGAGTCAGGCTTAATTTATTTATATTTTGTTTCCAAGCAGCCAGATGTTCTTGTCATTTATGGGGTTTTTTTTGTTTGTTTTTGTTTTAAGTGTTGTTGAGCAATAGTGCTCCAGGCCTTCTGAAGGTTTTTTCCTAAAGAACTTTTCTTTGGAAGTTGGCTGCCTTGTAGGGCTGCCACAAACGATTATTTTGATAGTCGACTAGTCACCGATTATATTTGCGATTAGTCGACTAATCAGATCATCATCCATTGAACATAAACCATACAGCTTATTGTACCAGCAGCATCTGCTCTTATATAACTATCATTACCTTACAGCTTTAAGTGTTTAAGGTCTGTGCTAACTAAAAATAAATAAAGACGAGATGATAGTTTATTAAATTTGAATGAAATTTGCAGATTGTTTCAGTGAAGTTTAATAAACTCCTTGCTATCTAAAATATAACAGGACACCGGAGTATATTCTCCAGCATCTCACACTTCTGATAATCAGCTGTCTGCTTGACTTTATTCAGCTGTGTAAAAACTATAACTTTAATCTCAGCCAAACCGATTCACTCAGGAATAGGGATGGGTACCGGTGTCCGGTTCTGACATAAACGGTAGTAACCAGACCGAAAAGCAGCGCACATTTCGGTGCTTTATTTCGGTGCTTTTTTTTTCCTGAGCTGTGATACA